ATATCCCTAATTTGTGCTTTTTGCAATATATTTTGAGTACAAATATGCTATTTATGTGATTTTATCTTTAATTGTAGGAATTGGACTCAAATGAAGAATTGTTGAAGTTTTGAGCTAAAATCGAATTAAAAGCAACTCAATGGGAAAGAATTGAACATTGGAGCAATTGATGGGGAAGAAATTAATGAGTTTAGAGAATTGGAGGGCCAATCATGCAATTTTGGAATTTGATTCTAATTTTTGGAAAATTGGCCGAAGGTTACGTTGATGATACGGCTGATTTCGGATTGGAATTGGATAAGAATTTTAATCCCGATATTAATTGGAAAACAAGTTTTCTTGTTCTTCAAGGAGTAGGGTTTAGCCGGAAGCCTATAAAAGGGGAATTAAGGATTTATTTTTACAAGAGAACTGAACCGAAACTTGACCGAAAACCACCGAACCCTATACCTCCATCACTATCTTCTCCGCCTTCCTCATAACCGGCGCGCGCACCAGCCACCATCTCCACCAACGCAGCCAACAGCAGCAGCCGAGCCCCACCTTCCATAACCACCAAACTCCCTCCTCCTTCACCGGCAGCATCATCACCGCCGCTTCGCTTCCATCACCACACACCGTTCGCAGCTCCTCTTTCTTCTTCTTCTTCACCACCAACGCAACCACGCAGCAGCATCAAATCCCCCAACTCCAAAACCAGCACCACCACTCTTCACCACCAACGCCTCCACGCAGCACACGAAGCAACTCAAGCTCTCCCCGCCGATCTCTTGCACGCACCGTTAATAGCAGCAGCCGCAATTGCAAAAATCGGGGAGCTCTTCGGCGGTTTCGGCAGAGTTTTTCGGGTTTTGGTGTTTTAATTCTTTTAATTTCAGACTTTGTTTTTATTATGTCTTTAAATATTATTGAATTATTTTTAATAATGTTTAGTGACTAAATTCTTTTAATCTAGGGCTTGGGTGTAGCCACCGAATTTATTTGGTTTATTTAATTTATTATTATTTGATTTTTCCATTAATTAATATTTGTTATTCTTGTTTTAATTCGTGTAAGTAATTGGCCACTATTTGCATGTCTGAAGATATTAATCGAAGTAGCGAGAGTGGAAGATTAATATTAGTTCGTAGGAATAATAAACTTAGGTTGTAAGCTACGAGAGTAAGATTATAACCTTTGCAATATTTGGTTCTTAATGGTCTTAATGTGCTTTTGTTAATCCCTATAGTCACGAGAGTAGTCATAGGGTTAATATAAGTAAGAGAATTATAACACGAGAGTGTATAGTTCTTAATTAGGTGAATCGTTGTGAGATTAATGGAAGTTAAAAGTCAGATATTTGTGAATTGAACTAACCCAAATATTCGGTAGGTGAACCCAATGTCCTAGATTTTCTTTGTCTGATTATTTGAATTAATATTATTTGCTTTTATTTTATTTATTTATTTTAGGTTTAAATTTTATAAATCTGAGATCATCATTTATCTAGATAATAATAGGAGCAATTTATACCTGGTAATTAGTATTCCTTCTCTGTGGGATCGACCCTGCTTTCTGCTTTACTACTAGTAATTATATTAAGTAGGTAATTATTATTTGACTAGTGTGATGACGGCTTGTCAATTTTACATTATAGTTCAGAGAATCACTCAACTGATGGTAACAGTGCTAGCGAACCACTCTGCTATGCTCTAATTCTTACTGAACGATGTCCAATTAAGTTCAGAGTGATCATCCCAGGCAATCAACACAACTCAAAACACAATTTATGCTAAACAAATAGCAACTAAAAAGATAGACACTTCAAATATATAAAAAGAAAGCATTAAAATTTTAAATACATGCTAAAATTGACCTGCAAAACGAAAATACAAAATAAAAACCTAATTACTAAAAAGAAGAAAAAAATTAAAGCAGTAAAAGTTATACTCCCTCTGTCCCATAATTATTGTCCACTTTGCTCAAAAAATTGTCCCAAAATTATTGTCCAACTTGACTTTTTATGGATCAAGTTACACATTTGTCCTTAGTAAAAAACATTATCCATAAAATCTTAGTGGTTAAACGATTACTTATGTAGGTGTATATCCGGTTGTTCAAGGTAAAATATAGTTAAGTTTGACCAAAAATAAAATTTTTCATTTTAGTAAAATTGGACAATAATTATGGGACTAAGGGAGTACTATAAAAGCAGTAAAACTATTCTACATTTTTAGCGCACTACTGCTCTCCCCCATACTTAATGAAGCATTGTCCCCAATGCTTGTGAAATTGTAAAAACAGGTGGCAGAGCAGGTAGGAAGACTGGAATAGGACCTCCCTCAGATCAACTTCCATGGCTTAGGAGAATGGCTTCAGTGCCATCTTTGGGCGGAAACTGAACATTTGCCCTTGGCATTAACCTCGTGGTGATGAGTACTAGGAAGAACCAGTTCCTAGCAATAAGATTGTCCATACAGGCTTGAATTGGTCCCTGATTATAGTTGCTGTGCCGATACTGGGCCTTCAGCTTTGATGCTGAGAAGTGTAGGTATGCTTCATCTTTATCCAATGTTCACTCAGTGTGTGGATTACCGCAGATGGCTGCAGTCATCGTGTAGATCAGGCTACCTATCTTGGGGAGATGGGCGAGAGCCACTTTGTACTCCGTCTCAACTTCTGGCAGGTTGAGTTCTTTCCTGATGACTGCTACACTGACATTGACTAGTCTTCCTCTGACGTGTACAACGTTCCCATGAGCAGATTAGATTGAAATTCTCGGACAACCTCCAATATTGGTTGCTTTGAAGGATTACAGTGTTTCTGCCACTGTTTCTCGGCTAACTGCACTGAGAAGCTCTGTTGCAAAGCTCTCTCATCACTAACTACAATACTAAACTCTAATCTATCTATGCTATTTTAAGCCTTTGTCTCTTCTCTTCACAATGTGCATCTCGTTCTCCTTTTAGAGAGTGGCGACAGCTTGCTTCTTTACTCGGATCTCGCCACATACGCCCAACAACAGCTACATCAGGAACGTCCATTCAGGCTCGCTTCCAGCTTCTCTTTGTTGTCATTTAGCATCGATCTTTTGGACGACAGGGTCACGTTGTACTTTTTTTCCTTGGCTGTCAGGTTTTGCCCTTTTTTTCAATAGGAAATTCGGTCCAATCAGCTTTTCATTACCTTTTTTTTGTCAATTCTACCTTGAATTTTTCCAATATTTTGATTGAGTCCCTAATCAGAGGAAGATGCAGAAATTAGTGAATAGTATACAATTCTAGACTACTATTTTACAAAGAAAAATGGACTAAAAGTAATGCTTTTAATAACATATAATTGGCACTCATCATCTGTGCTTTACTAGTTGATGTGGGCACTTTTAATCATGTATAATTGACACTCATCATCTGTGCTTATAAGTTGATGACGGAAACTATTGTTCTTCCGTTGCTTAATTTCTCTACATATTCTTTAAGACTTCATTTAATTGTGAATCCTTTGTGATGTTGTTTAATTTGGATTCCAAACGAGAAGAAATACGGCCACTAATTTGTAGTTGCCATCGAGCTGCTCGTATTAAATATATAGATTCTATGTTGCATCAAATCATTATCTAGAGTAACTAAAACCTAAATTTCAAGTGGTAGACTCTTAGTGCTAAGATCTTCGGCAGATGATGTAATGGAATATTTCTTTTATGCTTTAACTGTCTTTATATTTGGAGTAGTTTTATAATTCTCCATTGGGAAGATGTATACAATGTGATACATCTATGCAGCAAGGTTGACTTTTGAGATTTCCTCATTGTAAGCTCAAAACACCTTATCATCTTAAATTGTTTCACCTGCTAATGGTGATGGTAAAATTTGGCCTTTCAGTTTTAGATCTATTTTATGATCGCTATGTCAGAGTACTTAATTAATTGGGGATGAAATTGAGAGCACTTTAGTTATTCTATTCTCCATACTCACAACTCGAAACAGTTTTCCAAGTTACATGATTCTGATTTGTGTCAGAGATCTAAGACTATAGGATTTAGTTTTCAGCAACATGTCCTCAGAGCATCTCCAATCATTACACTATAATTTGCACTAAGTTTAGTGTAAAAATAGAATATTCCAAGAATCTTTTTACACCAAAGTTCTTTGATCTCCAACCTTAATGCACCAAATGATTTAAATATTGGAAAAATTTTGGTTAAGAACATTGGAAAGATGAAAATTATAATAAAGGGCCTGTCATTTACTTTGTCTTTACATATGTATTTAATCTGTTGTAATAATTTCTTAACCTTGCTAATGACTGTTAGACCGATTATTGACAAATCTGGTCCACATGATAATGGGCCGATCGCAGCACTTTAATGGAGGAAGAATCGGATTGAAACCCGCCTTGATTAGAATTCGCGGATGCAACAAAGAGCGAGGAGGCCGAGTTCGAAAAGGAGTCAATGACGCCGCAGTCCATATCGAAGAAGGATTCCAGCTGCAACAGAAATCATTGTGGAATTTGACTTCTGTTGCGACTTAGCTAGGGTTGGCAGAACCTGTACAAAAGCAATTAAGGAGGCACCGGGAGAAAAAAGAACTCATCATTCAAGAATTAGAATTTCATATTTTTTCTTTACAGTTTTTATCTTTCGATTGTCAGGCTTTTAATGTATTCTTTTACGTTTTGATCTTCAATCTTGTAATCATTTCGATGTTTCGGGATATTCAAAGCCAACTCGTCTTTAATCAAATCAATAAAACAGGCTCTTGCAGGCCGTTTTATCCATTTTCCATAAATTTTCGTTACTCTTTTGGGTTATCGATTGAGTGTCAATTCAAAGGCATCAGTCCGTTTAGGCAAATCTCAGCATTTGGACTCCGTATTTCGAGAATATCATGCAGTCGTTTGAAATTAGTTTGACCCGAATCGGTCTTCACTTTCAAATATAATTTTGACTCAAACATAAAATTTAGCACGCCCAATGGGATCGATTTGTGTGTTCCAGGCGTTGTTTAAGCAGAAAAACAATGTCATTACCTCAGTCATCAGCAACAGCACATTCGACAGGACATAGCTCTATACCAATTCAGGCTTTTGCATCAGGTGGGAGTTCATTGGCGATAAATACGCTTCTGAACATTTCGGCGGTGGATTCCTATTCAATCTTAACAACGAATCAGTCCACTGTGATACGACAACAATCTAGCCAGCAACAGTCCAATGTGGGATCAGGTCTGTTCAGAAAAAGATCGCGTTATCTCGGGTCCTACAGGAGTCTAGGGTTTCAAACTCCAGCCTTTCAGAGCCCGTTGTTTCAGGTTCCTGTGTTCGGTATTCTGGGCCAAATGAGTCAGGTTCCAGGGATAACTCCCGAGATGCTGCATCAACGGTTTTTCAGAAATAGAGCATGCTATGGCTACACAAGTAGAGCATTTTGAGGATGCTTTTCAGAGGCTAATTGGCCACAATACAAACATAGCAAGTTGTACACTTAGTAGATCTATGACGTCAGGAGTTAACACGGCGGCTACAGTAGCAGTGAGTTTAGAGGTGCCACCAGTCAGTATGGTTAATAATCCTTTATATCATGCCATATTCCAGGACATCCGCAATGAATACTCAGTGCGAAATCTCGAGCGAGACCAAGTAATGTGGAACTCACAAGGTAGCATTACAAGGAATACAAAGTTGGTATTACCCAGTTGTTCAAAGTCAACCAGCTTTTGTGTTGCCACCAGGGAATTTTACCTTTGATGGACGTCAGTTGCCTCCATTGTCCCCTCCATATGGCACACCAGTGATGATGCTCGGAACGTCATGGGGACAGCAATTACCCTATCAAAGATTCCAGGCGCCGTGGCCGGTGACTCCAGGAATGCAGGAGGTGGGAAATGCAACAAATAATACTGTTGCAAGGAATGCGCAATGAGGCAAATCAATTCAGTTGCAAAATGCTGCATTTCCACAGCAAGTTTTACCAATGCAACATCGAAAAGGATCAGCGGTGGTCCCATCACAACTGAGTGGACAAGAAGGTGCACCTAGGCTAACGTACATACCACAGGGAACAACAGATGTAGGTGTCCAAGCAACTGCGGGTGTAACAATCAATCAGGGCCCTGTTGGTACGGGAAACAATCAAGGTGCTGTTATTGAAAATGCAAGGCAGACTGGTCAACACGTGTAGGCGACCAATGATCGCCGCTTTATATTATATCAGAATTGAGTAGCAGGAAATAATACCGCAGCTGCAAATTTGGATGATTCACACATACCTCAAGCTCTGGTATTGTGGTTGCTGATCCGCAAATTGTTCCACCTCATCAAACATTGGAAGAGAATAGAGAGGAACAACAGTGGATGGAGTACGAAGCAAACCAAATTCTGAATCGAAATAGGGCGCAAGCTATTGGAAGACATATCAGAAACCAGAATTTGGGAAATAGGCATAACCCACGTCACCAGCATTTATGGGGTCACGGAGGTGGTCGTCAACAGGTTGATCTTGGTAACGAAGTTAGACAAGAACCGGATGCAGCAGCGAACGATAATCAACAACAGAATTTCGAGACAGGTGTTCATCAGATTTTAAACGCTGAGGATGTGTTTTCAAGAATGATAGAAGACAAGATCCATAAGGAGTTGGGCAGAGAAATTCCAGAGATTCCAGGAAAACCATGTCCCGGCTATGTCGAATGGGAGCCATTGCCAAGGAACTTTAAGATTCCCGATTTTCAGCAATTCTCAGGAGAGGATGAGAAGAGACCCGAGGATCATATAAGTTTGTTTGAATTACAGTGCGGTTCGGTAAGTAACAATGCTTTAATCAAGTTGCGTTTGTTCCCTTATTCTCTAAAAGGGACCACCTTTGACTGGTATCGATCACTAGCACCAGGCTCTATCCCGTCATGGGAAATGCAGCAGCGAGAATTCTTGTCAATCGTTGATCTTTCAGAAATTCGACAAAAGTTTGGAGAAACTTCAGTAGGGATACCACACAGTTGTCAATCGTTGATCTTTCAGAAATTCGACAAAAGTTTGGAGAAACTGCGAAAGCTTATTTGATACGCTTTCGTCAAATGTATGCTAAGATACCAGATAAGTATGACGAACCAACTATTTTCAAGATGGCAATTGCTGGGATTCAGGATTACAAAGTCAAGTTGGGCGTCACACCGCATTCTCTTCGACCTTTAAATCATTTGGCAGATATTGTAAGGAGATGTGAGAAAGTCATTAAAGATAAAAGGGAGAAGAACCCGGGAAAGACGAAGCAATGGTTCAACAAGGCCCCAATAGCAGAAGTGAATCAGAATCAATGGGTTCATGATGAGGACGACGATGAATATGAGGTTAATACCGCTGAAATCGTCAATGTCCGCAACTACACGTGTGACGCATTGCGTCGCCCTACAGTTCCACATTCTTATAATACTCCCCCACCGGTGGGCGCTCCGGCAGGCACCTCAGGGCAAGCTGGCGGAGCTAACATTGGTAGAGCATATTCTTTCGACATATCGCAACAAGAGGCCATTTTTTATGACATGTTCCAGAAAGGCCATATCCAGTATAGAGGGGGATATAGACAACCAAAGCCGGCGGATCTGGTTGGAAAGACGTATTGTAAGTATCACATGTCATGGACTCACACCATAAATGATTGTGTGGTATTTTGAAATAAAATTCAAAAGATGATTGATGATGGCAATGTGGTAGTAGAGGATCCAGTTAAAATGAATGTCAATCCTTTCCCGCCACAGCATCAAGTCTGAATGGTGAATGTAGGATTTGGAAGTCATTCTTCTGACGCGTGTTTGGTCACTGGTTGTGAAGATTGTGACAAAGTATATAATAAGGTCAAGAAACAGTTGCAAGAGCTAGGGTCTAAATTTGGGGGACATTTGCATCGACAGAATACACGTCTATCGGCAACAGAAGTGAATATAGTGATAAATGGACAGACGCAGACATGGGTACAAAAGGAAACACGTTTAGATCCGGAGCAAGAGAAACTGAGAGCTGTGTCAAATGCAATTTGAGTGTTTTGAACCAAAATCAGCAACAGAGTTTACAACATCAAGGTTTGAATGTAGAAGTTCTTCAGATGCAGCAACGAGTGCCCGTACAAGGCTGGGGAATATCGTTGTTAACCCTAAGGCTAACTCGCCATACCAAGTTCATGATACAAGACCATCAGTGTGGCAACGGATTCAGCGTTCCAGCCAAAGGGACAAAACCGAGCCAAGGTCAGTCAGAGCAGCACCCGTGTATGACAGAGAATGGCATCACACTGTTCATCCCAAGTCCCCTACTCCACCATTAAGGAAAGAAAAGATGACCAGGACACAGAAACAACGATGGCAGAGGGTTGTGAATAAACAAAATAGGGGTGCAACAGGAAAATTAGGAACGGTACAAGAGGAACAACCACTGTTATCCCAGCAAGCATCAATGAATAAGTTTTCAGGGCAGGAAGATAGACGATCACAGTTGTGGAGGAAAGTGGATATGTTTTTCCCACCAGTAAACATGGTTTATATGTTATCAAAGAATTTTCGTCGGAAAGAACCTGCAACTGCAACAACTATCATCCTCAAAACTGTTGCAAACTCACTAGTTGTTCCTAAAGCAGCTTCGTTCGTTACGGTTTGGTGGTATTCAACTGTTATCTCAAGAAGGTAAAGGCTCGGTCATAATGCTCTCTCAGCCAGCTGAGAACTCTGGGACTCACATTCGGCCATTACACATTTGTGCCGTCATGGATGGAGTACCATTGAGATGGGTGTTAGTGGACAACGGTGCAGAAATTAATATCTTACCCACAAGAGCTTTACAGAGATTAGGCAAGCAACTCAAAGATTTAGTGCCAACTGAAGTTTTTGTTAGCGGATTTACAGGAGACATTACAACCACTAAAGGAATCCTCCCATTACAAGTGGAGGTAGGATCACAAGTGGTGGTGTCAGCGTTCTTTGTGGTTGACTCTAAAGCGTCTTACAATGCCCTTTTAGGGCGTGACTGGATCCATTCAGCAAGATGTATCCCTTCCTCATTACATCAAGCGATTATTATATGGGGAATAGATGGACCAGAAATCATAGCTGCCGATGCAAGTCCATTTGCAGCTCAAGCTAATGCTGTAGAGGCTTACTATTACGACAGTGAAGTAGGTCCATACTGTCTTATTGGGATGGATAAGTATGGTCGGCCGCAACAGGCCACTATGCGTCGTGATATGAGTCTTCCAGAATGGAAGTTGCTGTTACAAGAAGTCAACAGGCCATACAATTACAACATGTTAAGGCCGTTGCCAGATGCTCCGTCTATTGAAGAAGTATTTAATGAAGACAATTGAACAGTTAAGTGTTTTGGATACGATGGAGTTAGGTCAAGAATGTTTGAAGGCAAATGAAAAGAAAGCCGCCATCAAGCGTGTGTTGCAGTATTTTGAGAATGAGCGTCAACATCAGATTGAAACGCCTGCGGTATGTTTGGATGAAGTAATTTATGATGCAGATCCAGTTTCAAATAGTGATGTCATCAATTTGAGTGAATTGGCTACTGCAACTCCAAAGTTAAGTGATGGAGCGGTTGTTACCAGAGAACCAGTCGAAGCAATAAACTTAGGATCATCTGGTGAGGAGAAGCCTACTTATATTAGTTCTTCCTTATTCGCCGATGACAAGAAGTCACTAGTTGATCTTTTAAAGCAGTATCGTGATTGTTTCACCTGGGACTATACGAAAATGCCAGGTTTAGATCGGAGTTTGGTAGAACACAGTATCCCTTTAAAAAAGGGTTTCAAGCCATTCAAACAACCGCCAAGGAGGTTTTCAGAAGATGTGGCCAACAAGGTGAAGGAAGAGATTGAACGTTTATTGGCAGTTGACTTTATCAAAGTTGCAGTATATGTTGAATGGTTATCTAATGTGGTCCCCATTATCAAGTAAAATGGAAAAACCAAGGTCTGCACGGATTTCTGTAATCTTAATCTAGCATCTCCAAGGGATGAATATCAAATGCCGAATGCGTAAACATTGATTGATAGGTCGATGGGTTTCCAAGTCATGAGTTTTGTTGATGGCAACGCTGGATATAACCAAATTTTCATAACTCCTGCAGATGTTCATAAGACTGCTTTCCATGCGCTAGGATCCTCAGGCATTTTCCAGTGGAAGGTTATGCCATTCGGGTTAAAGAATGCCGGAGCAACATACCAAAGAGCAATGAACTGCATCTTTCATGATCTCATCGGAAGGGTTCTTGAGGTATACATAGATGACGTGATGAAATTGCATTCTTTTGGGGATCACTTACAACATCTGCGTCAGTGTTTTGAGCATATGAGGAAGTATATACTGAAGTTGAACCCATTGAAGCGCGCATTCACTGTTTCCTCAGGAGTTTTCTTGGGGTTCTTAGTACACTCCAGGGTATTGAAATTGATGAAGAAAAAGCTAAAGCAATCATTGAAGCTAGACCCCCAAAGACAAAGAAGGAGTTACAGAGCTTAATCGGCAAAGTTAATTTCCTTCGCCGATTCATTTCGAATCTGTCGAAGAAGTTGAAACCTTTTTCTCCACTTTTGAAAGTGCAAGCTGCAACGGATTTTGTATGGGGTGACGAGCAACAGCAGGCTTTTCAGGATATTAAACAAGCTTTATCAACTCCTCCAGTAATGGTTTCACCGATATCGGATAAATCTTTAAAGCTATATTTGATGGAGACCATCGAGCTAACACTAATGGAGAGAGACATGTTGCTGCCAATAATGGAGAGGACGAGTAAGTTGAGGTCGTGAATGCTAATGGAGGATCTAAAGATGCTGCTTTAAAGAATAATCCTTACATCTGTGATCCACTCTCAAACATTGTTGGACAAATGACTCGTGCTAGACGCAAGAGGATGAATGAATCACTTAATAGTCTAATTGTTACTACATGGGCTAAGGAGGAAATTAAGCTTGAAGATTACAAGCCCAAGACTATTAATTTGTTGCAAGTGACACCAAATGGATTTGGCCCATTTGGAGAGAAGAATTTTCACCCTCATGTTGGTCGAATTAATCCCTAAGGTTTAGGGGTGAGATCATTCAAATTTTATCTCTTTGAAGATGAGACTTTATCTCTTTAAAGGATAATATTTGGGATGATTCTTTTTATCTTGTTTTTGAGTTATCCTACAATAAGGAGTCAACTTTTGTTGTCTACTCAACCGTTGGATGAAGACTACATCAAGATAGATGGCTAAGATCACTCTACAAAGAAGATGATGATAGAGTTTTAACTCAAGGGAGATTCTATCCATTGGAATCTTTCTAAGAGAATATCTCTTTGTATTTTGAGTTTTAATTAATTCCTACAAGTCTTAAATGTTTTAAGACTAGTAAAAATTTCTAGGTTCGTTATCTTATCACTTAAGATAACTAGGAGTCTTTAGAGTTTGATTTCATTTCAAATTCTTAGAGATAGGGCTAGAGGTGAAGAGTTGTGTTCTTCCTCTACTTCTTGGGAATAAATTTCGGCCACCCCCTCTATAAATAGGGACCAAAATTCTCTTGTCCAACACACCTTGTGTCATTGATATTTTCCTGAGTGAAATTGGTTAGGATTTTATTTCTTTCGTGGAGTTCTTGTGAGGATTTCTTTGTTTAGTTGTTGCATATGTGTTGTGACAATTGTTAGACTTATCTATCTTGTTTAGTTCACTTCATAGTGGCGGCTTTAGCATTGGATCTTTTGAATCTTGGTATTTGAGCTCATAGATCTCACATCTATTGGGTTTTCCTACACAATTTTCTAAGGGGTCTCTGCTTGGTTAGAAATAGCTCTCTTCATTCTTGATTTGGGTTGTTCTACCATTGAACTCGTGAATTGATCCACGTGAGATCAAATATCTTTTCTTTTCTTTGTTTTTCATGTGTTTTTGAGTCTTTAAATCCGAATTCTCCAAATTCCGCTGCCTACAAATCTCTATCTTTCCGAATTAGCAAAGTTGATCTTTCCTTAAAGATTGGTTTTGTCACGGATTGCTATCAATATTTGTCAGCAACATAAGAGTCATTGGGTTGTTTGTTAGCACAAGATGGTCATGACGGATTGGAAAGAGCTATATACTACCTCAGCAGAATGCTTACAGACACTGAACGCCGGTATCCACCAATTGAAAAACTTTGTTCAACATTATATTTCGCCGCGACTAAGTTGCGGCATTACATGCTTCCGAGACTAGTTTGTGTTATTAGTAAAATCAATCTTGTCCACTACATGCTGCATCAACCAATGATGAGTGGCCGGATTGGAAAATGGGTCCTGGCTTTGATGGAATATCAATTTCAACACGTACCGCAATCAGCGTTGAAAGGGCAAGCGTTAGCAGATTTCTTGGCCGCACACCCTTCACTTGACGATGATTGGGACGATAAATTCCTTAGTACTTTTCAAGTACACCAGTTAGAAACTCCTACGTGGATATTACACTTCGATGGCTCAAGAACTTTTCACCGTAGTGGCGCAGGAATAGTGCTTACACCACCGTTTGGACCAAAACTGCGATGTCAAGTTCGATTGAGTTTCAAAGCTACATATAATCAGGCTAAATATGAAGGATTAATTCATGCACTTGAGACGCTTCTATATAATGGTGCAACTTATGCGACGTTCATCGGAGATTCCGCTTTAGTCATTGGCCAAATGAAGAAGTTGTTGGAACTAAATGATGAAGTTATGGCTAAATATGCAGCAGTGGCAGGTATGTTAGCTGCCCGATTCCAGCATATTGAGTTTCATAACGTAGAAAGAGAGTTCAATGCAGAAGCAAATGATATGGCACAATTAGCATCCGGATACCCTAAGACACCATTGGGACCAGACATTGCTTACGACACAATTGATTTCGATACTACCTATGTCAGATATCCATTCAATGCAGAATTTTCTGTTGCAACAATTACTGCAACAGAAGATTGGCGAACACCGATTATCAGGTTTTTGCAAGACCCGACATACCATACACCGTTATCCATCCGGAGACAGGCGCCCAACTACATATTGTTGCAAGGGCAGTTATATCGTAAGACATCTGACGAAGTATTCCTTCGATGTTTGGGAAAATCGGAGTCCATGGTCTTGATGTAAGAAACTCATGAAGGTTTTTGTGGTGCCCACCAAGGAGGCAGGAAGATGGCGTGGCTACTTCGCCGCCACGGTTATTTTTGGCCAACTATGATTCCAGATTGTATTAATTTCGCCAGAGGGTGTGTAGATTGTCAGAAACATGCTGATATTCCACATACACACCCGGAGCCAATGCAGTTTATAGTCAAACCCATGACCATTCCGGTGTTGGGCCCTTAATGTTATAGGCATGATTCATCCACATTCTTCTGTGGGACACAGATATGTTCTAGTTGCAACAGACTATTTTACTAAGTGGGTGGAAGTAATTCCTTTAAAGGATGTAGATCAGAAGGCCGTTATTAGTTTTATCAAAGAATATATCATCTACAGGTTTGGTGTGCCGAAAACAATCATCACAGATCAAGCGCAGTATTTTACAGGTCAGGATATGACGCAGCTTGCAAAGGATATGGGCTTCACCCTAACTCATTCTTCTCCTTATTTTGCTCAAGGTAATGGTCAAGCCGAATCAACGAATAAACACTTGAAAGGAATCATACAGAAAACGATTTCCGATAACCCACGACAATGGCATGAAGTGCTGCGTCAAGCTTTATGGGCTTATCGGGTAACACAAAGAGATAGTACAAAGGCAACCCCGTATGAGCTGGTCTATGGGCATGATGTCGTGTTGCCTGTCGAAACACTAATCCCTTCCTTTTGAATTGAGAAACAGTCTCCTTTGGATTCTGCCGACTACGCAACAACTATGCTAATTGATCATGACAAGTCGGCCCATTGCCGCAACGTAGCAGCAGCTAATATAATTCACCAGAAAGCGGGAATCATCCGGGCTTACAACAAGTTTGTCAGATATAAGCGTTTCAACATCGGTGAAATGGTGTGGAAAACAATCTTACCTTTAGGGCACAAAGATCGTGTTTATGGCAAATGGAGCCCCACTTGGGAAGGCCCCTATGTAACATCCACATTTAGGCCGGGGTGTCTATGTTTTGAAAGATCTTGACGGAACAATCGTAGATAGATCCATTAATGCCTCATATTTGCGCAAATACTTTGCTACTGCTTGGCATCAACTCAATGCTGAAGTGCAGCCAAAAGATACCAATGAGTGAAAAGCAAGGACATTGTTTACTATTAACAACAAATCAAAATAAATTGTTTTGTGCAAGTAACAGATTACTGCAACACTGGAAGGCTAAATCAGGAAAAAAAAAAAATCAAGACGGGTTCAACAAGGTATCAATTCCCAAGCAATGTCATATCTCTGCTGGAGGGGTTGCAGGCCTGCTAGCTAATGGTGCCACATCAAGGGCCTCCTCTTCAGGCGGTGGCACATCCTGTGACATTTCTGAAGTTGGTTGCCTTTCTTCTACTGTTGCACCGCTTTCAGGATGACTTAGAGGCATTTGACTCATGGGCATTGGAGAGTTGGGAGCTGTCCCTACTTCTTGCTGTAGCTTGGTGATGGTATTCTTCAGAAAGTTCCAGCTGGTCTGCGCACCTTCTACAACTTTTTCAGGATCCTGGAACTTGGGAAGCAGTTGGTTCACAACGGTGGTCATCCGCCCATATCCATCAAGCGCCACATCAGTGTCCGCAACAACACCACTTAGCTCCGCCTCCAGTTGTTTGCGTCTGGCTTGTGCTTTCTCCAATTCTGCCTTTGCCTTTAATTCGGCAGCAATAGCCTCTTTGATGTTTGTTTCCAGTTGCCCTGCCTGTTCAATCAGTTGTTCAGATAACAATTTATTCTTCTCCTGCAGGCCATAAGCAGCCTGATATTCCGCAATATGGGGAACCCAAACTCGGCATTCAATCTACTTTTGGGCTACTTCTGAAGACACTAAACGTATTGCTGCAGCCATATTCCCTTCGGTGATAGAATTTTGGATAACGGCCAGCAATTGACTCAACTGATCATGCCTTTCGTTGTATACTTCTTCAGCAGATAGTGGAAACATCTCTGTGATTTGTTACAGCGGAGCTACCAGAGGCATTTCAGGCACCCTAGACGTTTCTTCTGTTCTTACATAAGCTGCCGCTTTTGTTCGTTCCAGTCTAGCTTTTGAGTGACTCTATGGATGGAGGAGCTTTTTTCCCAGAAGCGGTTGGAGAGCTCGAACTGGCCGTTTTCATTACCTTTTTGCTCTTGGCGCCGCCCATCTCAAAAACTATTTTCTGTGCAGCTCGATCTTCAGCTACTGCAGCAGAACCTTTCTCGCTGCCTGGGCTTTCTGCTTCTTCCTTTTCACTCTCAGACACGGATACGGGATTCTCCTGTTCATACATGGCAAAGACGGAAAATACTTGTTAGTATTCCGCTTAACAAGGTATCATAATACTGGCAATATTATTGTTACCTTATTACTGACTTCGCTAGCAGACCGCTTCCTCCCAATCAACCTCTTGGATTGACAGGTGGAAGTTGGAGCATCCTTCCCAGTACTTGTTTTTGCCCTAACAGCGGCGGTCGCAGTGCTCTTCTTGCTTGATTGACCACCGGTCTTTGCTGCAGCGTCACTTTTTCTTTTCCCTGCAAATATTACATTCAGGAAAAAAAGAGTGACACAAAGAGATTTATTTACAGCGTAAATTTAGGGCACTAGTTGTCATTACCTTTCTTCTCTGTTTCTGCAACACCACCAACTGACTTGTTCTTTGCAAACTTGTTGATGCCAAAGGAGGTTTTGATTGCCTCGAATCCAGAACCGTACATACCAATTGACAGTTCATACCACCAGTCTGCAAATCCAGGTGTTGCATCGAAATAGAAATTGAATGGAATTGTTGCTGCTGACCTACCTCTCAGATCCATCAACACCTGATGCGCGGTGTATTGAGACATTGTGAGTTTTTCCCTACCAAGCCTCCCTGTATTCCAGCAAGATACATCAAAGTGCATCACACTCTGGGCAAAACCAAATTTCCGGGCTACCATATTCACCGGATAGTATTCGGCGTGCATATCCGGTACTACATTCCGGGATTGTGCACTCTTACAGCCATAAAACAAGTCCCTTGCTGACAGAAGATGGCTCCATACAGATGCCAGGCCAAATTTACAAGGGTAGCTCCACTTTCTGCTATCTACTTCAACATGGCAAACTTCCCAAAAGCTTTTATGTCACCAGTCATGGCTGAGTTGTTGTACATTCGCCTCAATGTTAGGGTTCGATTCAAAGACAGTCTTGAAGACTTGTGTGGCATCATAGTTTGGTGCACTATATTGATGCACACCAAGGCACAAAGGTTCGCCACTCTCCACAGGATAGATACCTTCTGGTTTTAAGCTAGGAAAATACATATACAACCAAGAATGCAATAACCACACAGGGCCACAGAGGGTAACACCAGGATTATGCCTGGCTTCATGCAAACAATGATACAACATAGCAAGTATCGCTTCTGCCAAGTTCATTTGTACTCCAGATGCTAACTTACCAGCAACATGATACCATTCCATAGTCATTTGAAACGATTTCCCAGGAAACACATACATGTTCAACCACATAGCAAGAAATCGAATATGATGGAACCGGCTTGTGTGCCCTTTGTTTTCGTTGATGAAAGGTCCATAGCTTCTGGGTTGCCCCGCCGCTACTGCAGCTGCGTCATCATCAGTCACATGGCCATCCACGGCCACATCTGCAACAGCAGGCATACTAGTGATGACGCATACATCAAGCAATGTCGGTGTCATCGGGCCCCATGGAAAGCAGAAAACATTACTGCTCCCACTCGAAAACCCTAGCACAGCCTCCACCAGATCTCTACTTTCGCCAAGCCCTATGATGCAGAACTTCAACAGGTCATAAATCCCAGCTATCCTCCAAGTATCAGCGTATTCCGGTTCCAACTCGTGGTACCATTGGATGAAGGCCTTCTGGATTTCTGGTTTGTCTGACCACGGCCCCATGGAAGGCATTCTCATACTTGTAGTACGGCGATTCTGGGTTCAGCAGCGGAATGTATTCTTTCAGATTTTCTGATGCCGATGGGAAATTCGGCCCAAGGGTTAACTGGCGTGCATCGGACTTGAAAGGGACAATCACTCGTTCTTCAATCGGTTGTAAAGCACCCACATCTCCGGGTTTCACACCATGAGTTGTAGCTTTGACTCTATCGAACGACATTGGGTTTACTGCGCCGGCTCCGGCCATCTTGGTGTCGGTGATAGAAAATAAGGGTTTGTTTCGAATTGAAAGAGGGATTTTGCAGGTGTTGGTGCGCAGCTGTGTTTTTTTGAAATTCTAGAATCAATTGATTGTTTGTGGTTTCGGTTCCAAATCTTTACAGTTTAAAGACGGCAGTGTAACAACTTCAGAATTGAAAGGGATTTGGAATCGGAGAAGATTTAGTTTCCGTTGTGGAGTAAGAAAACCAAAACAGCTGTTGAAGACTATTACTGTTTCTTTCTCTCTCCAACGTTATACTGTTTGAAATCCCAGTCAATGCTCAGTAAGAGTGCAATCAGGGAGCCGCTTCAACAAACCCATGTCTTTCACACGCGCTTTTACTGGGAGGGATGTTGGGCCGATCGATTTTTCTTTTTCCTTCTTGGGAAGGTCTGCTGGATCGTCCCATTATTTGGGTTGAAGAATTGATAATAAGGAAAGTAAAGTTTGGGCTCCAGAAATCAAATTTTGCTTCCCTCGGGGGGCTTTATGTTGGACCGATTTTTGACAAATCTGGTCCACATGAGAATGGACCGATCGCAGCACTTTACTGGAGGAAGAATCGGACTGAAACCCGCCTTGATTAGAATTCACGGATGCAGCAAAGAGCGAGGAGACCGAGTTCAAAAAAGAGTCAATGACACTGCAGTCCATATCGAAGAAGGATTCCAGCTGCAACAGAAATCCTTGTGGAATTTGACTTCTGTTACAACTTAGCTAGGGTTGGCGGAACCTGTATAAAAGCAATTAAGGAGGCACCGGGAGAAAAAAGAATTCATCATTCAAGAATCAGAATTTCATATTTTCTTTACAGTTTTTATCTTTCGATTGTCAGGCTTTTAATGTATTCTTTTACGTTTTGATCTTCAATCTTGTAATCATTTCGACGTTTCGGCTATTCAAAGCCGACTCGTCTTTAATCAAATCAATAAAACAGGCTCTTACAGGCCGTTTTATCCATTTTCCATAAATTTTCGTTACTCTTTTGGGTCGTCGATTGAGTGTCAATTCAAAGGCATCAGTCCGTTTAGGCAAATCTTAGCGTTTGGACTCCGTATTTTGAGAATATCACACAGTCATTTGAAATTAATTTGAGCTGAATCGGTCTTCACTCTCAAATACAATTTTGACTCAAATAATGACTATTTTATCCATTTCTTAAATAGATGGCCGCTTCTTTCTTCCTCATCAGTGCTCGTTTTTTCCATGGTTCCTTGAAAATTATCTTCTTCACAACCCTTTGTTCATGATTCGTTAGCATTAAAGAAATTTCACATGATTTCAATCAGTGTCTGAGTCTCCTTACCGCATTTCTGGTAATTGATTTTAGATCTCTGGCTATTTTTTCTGAGGCATATAAATCACGATTCATTGAAAATTAAAAGTAGATCCCATCATATCAATTTTACAAGCTAATACCAATTTGTTCGAGTCAAACTAATTTCCCGTCATGTTGACAAACGTTAGTTGTGGCTTCGAAGTTGTCCCCTTCCAACTCTAGAAAATTTGTCATTGATGGTGAAATTGATGGAAGGAAGGAATGATACCTAATAAGATGTAGTTTGAAAGTATGCTTATCTAGATTAATTAAAACTAATCTCCGTATTTGATTATTTGGATTTTCTGAAGTCATTGTTACAGTCATCTCAAGTAAAATCTATATAACTTAATAATCGAAAACCCAAAGAGAGAAAACTGGGATAGTTTTCCACTTGCCACGTATGATTAGCAATTTTCTCCATTTTTTGATTTATTATAAAGAAAAAAAAATCTATATCTTCATTTAAAAAATTCAATTAGTATTTGTTTAGTATTTTAGTTAAATCATATTCATCCAAGAAAATCAATTAGTATTTGTTTAGTATTTTAGTTAAATCGTAATTCATCCAAGAAAAACAGCTCTGCTCGAAATTCAATCGAAGTTACCATGAATTACTACAGTTTAAAGCTTAAAATCAATTGATTATTAACTTTAAAAGGATTATACATAACTTATCTCATCGACTTATCTCATCCAATGCAAAAAACTTTCCACTTTGAGCTAATTATTGGATTCCCAATATTTTTTAGAAGATTAGATTCCCGATTTTGTGTCAACTTATTTTGTGTTTTTTGTTTATCCAAATAAGTCTCTGATAAAGAATCTATCCAAATCGATTCCTGATTCTATTGAATCAAATCTAGAAGATTTTATTTTACTAGTGTTTTACCCGTGTGTTGCACGGTGAGCAGATTAGAATTAAATTATCCTTCGTTTTTTTTTACGTTAAATATGAGTATATAATTTCAAGATATAAAAATAAAAACGAAGGTGTATAATAAATATTAGTTTTGTTTATACTTAAGATAAAACGGACAAAACTAAGGGTATATAAAAATATATCGAAAATAAGTAATACTTCGAAAAGCAACATATCAGGAATTATATATTTTTTAGGACGTCTTTGTAAACCACATTTGTCGTCCGATTGTGGAATTCTCCATCCTTAGTACAAATAAGGATTTTAAGACCTTTCTTGGATTTTACTCTTGAAAAAGCGACTTAGGTTGCCCATGTGTAGAAACTGGACGACGCAAAAACAACCCGACTTCAGACAGAGACTGTCCCTGACTCTTGTTTATTATCATAGCAAAGCATGCAACAATCAAAAATTGCCTCTTCTTCAGTTTAATTGGCATCCTCTCATCAGCGGGACTAATATCCACACGGAGAATGAAACATTTTTTCCCAATATTAGCTCCTGATATGATTGTCGCCTCAATAACCCGTTGTCCCAAATCATTGACTTGGACTCTTGTACCATTACATAATCCTCATGGTTGATCAAGGTTTCGAAGAAGCATTATTGGGACTCTGTCTTTTAGGGTTATTTTGTGGTTTGGCATTCCCGAACATTTTATGGAGTTGAGGAATTCTGTCGTATAGACTGCATCATCCTCTGGGTTTACTAACCTTGCGGTCATGTCTATGCAATCCGAACTATAATACACCATTGTCTTGCCAACTAAGAGTGACAACATGTGATCATTAATAGCATCAACCTCATCGTTGGTAGGTGCCAAGATAGCCCTTTCATTGAAGAAATCTTTGACTTCCGAGTTGGACAAAATATGGTTTCACCTACAGGACATTCGAAATATTTAACATTCAAAAGATTTCATCGCTGTTAATTATATATAAAAAAAATTTAAATATTTGTATAAATGATGATTGAATAAATGTACTATTTATTTACTAATAAAGTAATACCTATAACTAAAATTTCGATTGTGTAGACAGATAATATGAGAAAAATGACACAAGTTGTCATCATATTATAAAAAATAGTAGTAAAAGCATTCATAATGGCACTATACTGAAGTACTTCCTTATAAACTACATTTGTCGTGCGAAGTGTAGATTTTTCACCATCCTCGTTACAAAATAGGGATTTTAAGACCTTTCATAGACTTCACTCTGGAAAGGTTCTTAGTCTGTGATGGGTTAAAAACTTGCAATTGTTTTGAGTGATATTTTAGTATTTCAGGTGACCCGTTGAACAGAGAGACCATCTCCATTTTCATCTTTACCAGCATCTCGCTCTACATCGTTTTGTTTAAAAAGGTATGAGTCTTTAGTAGATTAAAAACATGTAATAGTATTGACTGCGATTTTAGTCTTTCTGGCTGCCCATTGAACAAACAAAAAGAGAAGAAAGAAAAAGAAGAAAAATCATTCCATAATCATTTTCATCTTTAACAGCATTATACTTTGTGTTGTCCTTCTTATAATGTTTTGAATCTTTAGTAAGTTAAAAACCTGCAATGATTGTGGCTGGTATTTAAGTATTTTTTGTTACCTATTAAAAAATAAATAAGAAGAAGAAGAAAAAAAAATTTGCGGGTCTTATTCCATTTTCATTTTTATTTTATTTTGTTTTTTTATTCCATCTTCATTTTTATCTTTGACAGTATATCACTTTATAACGTTCTGCTATAAATGTTCCAAATTTTTTGGTAGGTTAGAAACCTACAAAGGTGTTAGCTAATAGAGGTGCCACAGATGGCAACATATCAAGAAAAAATCCATTAGACAATTTAATCCTATTTAATCTAGAATACATAAAAACACGTAAATATAAAAAAGAAGAACAATATAAAACTACTATTGAAATTGAATCTAAAAGAGGACTTTGCTATTTAGAATATATATTTGGCAGCCCATTAAAAAACACAAAACAAAAAGGAAAATAAAGCTTTGCTATTTAAGTACTTCTGACGGTCTATTAAAATAAAATAAAACATAAGGTCTCATTCGATCTACATTTTCATCTTAACAGCCTGTTACTCTACATTGCCTGGCTTAAAAGTTCTTAGTCTTTGGCATGATAAATACCTGCAACGATTTGAATGCTATTTTAGTATTTTTGGCACCCTGTTGAACCCAGAAGAAGAAAAAAAGAAGATACGCAAGAACTATTTGTTCTATGATACATATCAATAAATTAATAGTTTAGTATTTTCAACAAACCCGTTGAAAAAAAAATGGCGGGTCTCATTCTATATTCATTTACATTTTTAACATCATGCAACTCTGCTTAAAGGTTCCATGTTTTTGGTATGTTAAAGATATGCAATGGTTTTAGATGCAATTTTAGTATTTAGAACAGCCCGTTGAACCTAAAAAAGAAAAAATAACCGGTGGTCTCATTTCATCTTCATTTTTAACTTTAACGACATGTCACTCTGTGTTATCTCACTAAAAACGTTCCGAGTCTTTGGTAGGTTAAAGAACTGTAATGGTTTTATTTGCTATGTCACTCTGTATTGTCCTGCTTAAAGGTTCCATGTTTTCGGTAGTTGAAAATCTGCAATTAGCTGCTATTCTAGTATTTATAACAGCCCATTGAACCAAAAAAAAAAAAAATCGGTGGATCTCATTCCATCTTCATTTTAAAAGGTTCCGAGTCTTTGGTAGGTTTAAAAAATTGTAATGGTTTGTGTCTGCTATTTTAATATTTTTGACACCCTATTGAACAAAAAAAAGAAAAAAAAAAGAAAAAGAAAAAGAAAACCCAACTCTTAATCCATCTTCATTTTCACTTTTAATACCATGTCACTTTGCATATTCTTGTTTAAAAGGTTCTAAGTCTTTAATAAGTTAAAACATTGCAATGGTTTTGGTTGATGGACGTGTTGCCAATAACAACACATGAGAAAAAGTACATTAAAAAATTTAATCCAATTTCATTCATACATAAATACACGCAGTAAAAAATAATTTAAATAATAATTATTGAAATTGGATATAAAAATAAAACTTTTCATTTAAATATTTTTGACAGTCTGTTAAACTAAAAGAAAAAAAAAAGAAACACAGAAGATCTCATTCGATATGCATTTTAGTCTTTAACAGTAGGTCACTCTGCATCGTCTTGTTTAAAAGGTTCTTAATCTTTGGTAGGTTAAATACCTAGATAATTTTGATTGCTATTTTAATATTTTGGGCACCCCATAAACCCAAAAGAAAAAGAAAATAGAATAACAAGCAAGATAAAAGATATCAAAGATAATAATTATCGATAAATTAATAGATTAGTATTTTTGACAACCTGTTGTAATAAAAAATCAGCGGGTCACATTCCATCTTCTTTTATATTTTTAACATAATGTCACTCTGTATCGTACTACTTGTTGGTTCCATGTTTTTGTTAGGTTAAAAATCTGCAATGAATTTAGCTGCTATTTTAGTATTTATAACAGCCCGTTGAACAAAAAAAAAAAAAAAAAAACGGGTGGGTTTTCAGTCTATCTTAATTTTCTCTTTAACAACATGTCACTCTGCGTTCTCTCTTTAAAGGTTCCAAGTTTTTGTTAGGTTAAAAAATTAGAATTATATTTTCTGCTATTTTAGTATTTTTGACACCCCGTTGAGCCCAAAAGAAAAAAAAAAAAGAATAAGCAAGAACTATTTGTTCAAAGATGATACTTACCGATAAATTAATAGTTTAGTATTTTCGATAACCCGTTGCAATAAAAAATCAGCGGGTCTCATTTCATCTTATTTTACATTTTTAACATAATGTCACTCTGTATCGTACTACTTGTTGGTTCCATGTTTTTGTTAGGTTAAAAATCTGCAATGAATTTAGCTGCTATTTTAGTATTTATAACAGCCCGTTGAACAAAAAAAAAAAAAAACCGGGTGGGTTTCAGTCTATCTTAATTTTCTCTTTAACAACATGTCACTCTGCGTTCTCTCTTTAAAGGTTCCAAGTTATTGTTAGGTTAAAAAATTAGAATTATATTTTCTGCTATTTTAGTATTTTTGACACCCCGTTGAGCCCAAAAGAAAAAAAAAGAATAAGCAAGAACTATTTGTTCAAAGATGATACTTACCGATAAATTAATAGTTTAGTATTTTCGACAACCCGTTGCAATAAAAAATCAGCGGGTCTCATTTCATCTTATTTTACATTTTTAACATTATGTCACTCTGTATTGTGCTACTTAAAGGTTCCATGTTTTTGGTAGGTTAAATGTCTGCCATGATTTTAGCTGCTATTTTAGTATTTATAACATCCGGTTGAACCCCAAAAAAAAAAAAGAAGAAAAGAAAAAGAACCGGTGAGTCTCATTCTATCTTCATTTTTTTTTCTCTTTAACAATATGTCACTCTGCGTTCTCACTTAAAAGGTTCCGAGTTTTTGGTAGGTTAAACAATTATAATTGTTATGTATGCTATTTTAGAATTTTTGACACCCACGTTAAACCAAAAAAGAAAAAGAAGTAAAAAAGAAAAAAAGAACCGGCTCTTAATACATCTTCGTTTTCACTTTTAGTACTATGTCACTTTGTATATTCCTATATAAAAGGTATTAAATCTTTAATTAGTTAAAAACCTGCAATGGTTTTTGTTGATGGACGTGTTGCCAATTACAAATGATTGGCAGTTTTATCTTATAATGGCCAGCGTCGATCGGAAGATTAGAAGTCGTGGTCATTATTGATATTGTTTTTAGTTATTGATATTGTATCTCTGAAAAATTTTGTTTAATATATATGAAGATTTGTGGCCCAAGTTAATAATAGACAAATATATATATATATATATATATATATATTCGCTAATCATTTATTGAGAAACTAATTCTAATTGAAACTATACAATGGCAATATATATATATATATATATATATATATGTTGCTCAGATATCTCTTTGATCAAATTTAGCACTTTGCTTAGAAATTAAAATAGAGAAGACCAATCAATTCCAATAATAAACATAAAAAAGCATCTTCAAACAAATAAGAAGTTAACGTGGAACAAAACCAATCAAACTTTTCTTTTTCAACAACATCAATATAACAACGTCAAATTAGAATAATGCGTAAAGATAATTGAGAATTGCAGAGCATAAAAGATAACAGAGAATAATGCATTTGATTCAGGAGGGAGAAATAGGAGGAAGCGGCCAAAAAAAAAAAAAAACGATCTTCTGCCACCGTATGTGATAAGACCATAATTAAATTCTAACTTTCTTGAATGGAAATTATCTTCATTTAAACTTGTTATTTAATTTAATGATAATGATTTTCAAGAAGAATAATGAGGGAGATATGTGAAGATAGTTCCCGTTTTCAAAATGAAATTTTGAATTAACAAAATTTTATCCATCCAATTTATGACACAAATGCACAGCAAAATCGGTGATTCAAATGATAAAATTCTATTATTATACCGGATTATTACTTACGTAAAAGACGGAAAATCCAGCATAGAGATTCAGTTTGCACCTCCCTCCGAACCCTCTTCTATCTTCTGCTTTTTTTTCAACATGTTATAAGAGATTCATAACATAATATGGTCTTTTACTTTAGATCAGATAAGGAGAGTAGTAATGCTATGATAATTTTCATAAGAAATTCTCAACTGGAATTAATTATATGTAGATAATTTTGACATTGTGAGGTTAATACACGTATATTGGTTCCAATAACAAAAAAAATCAGTTGAATCTTGATAAATGATAAAACCGTAGTAATTATCTCAACCATAACTAATGATTCAATTTAAAATGTATAGAAGATAGGGTCATTCCTCGTAAAAAATAAGTATACATGTAGTATACGGCCAAATCCTTCATCTATTACGTCAGACCTACAAGAAATCTATTTTCTGCTATCTCCGAACAAGAAAAATTGCGCCGACATGGCCAGAGAAGAAAAGCTGTGTGGCCGTAAATTCTTTTCCGAAAACCCATGCCATCTTATTTGTACGAAAAACCCTTGCCATTGAATGATTCCAAAAATACACTCCATATACTATTTCTATAATGTAGGAGTAACTGAGTCACTATTGGCGAACTATGATATGTATTTAAATTTTTTATAAACAAATGATATATATTTAAAGGTAAAAATTCATCAAGATTAATACTAATAAGAAAATCATCAAAATAAATGATCATCTCTACATCATATATAAAATGGTAAAAAATTTCATTCATCATAATCCTGCAACATTATATTTCATCAACTTTGAACATTATGTATACAACACTTTAATTCGATGGTTTGAGATAGCTATAATAGTGAAAAGAACAACTACAAACCACAAAAATCTGATCTCAAGAGGAAAGTAAATTGATGAGGGGAGGCATTTTAAATCTTACAATTTCAGGAGCAAAATCAATCTCATGATTTCCTGCAGTCCAAATTCAAGGTTGATATGCAACACTTCTCTCAACAAACCTGCGTCTTGTATCCAATCTCACATTGTCATGGTTAGGATACTTATCAGCATGTGAGAGATCTCCAACAAAAAGCCCCGTCTAACCTTTGCTTGGATTTTGTTCATAATGAGTTAGTGTGTTATTGGAGTCAAAACTCTGTCCCAAATCCCCTGAAAAGTGAAACACACATGCTAAGCTAATCACGAACTTCCCTTCAAATCCTCTCAAAGTTTTCCTCTTCTTTCAAATAAAAATAAAAAGTACCTATAAGGCCAAAGGTGTATGCATGGAAAATCTCCAACTGGAGGAGGGCAACGAACCAGAAAGTACGGATTGTTTGGCCAATTTCAACTTGGTAATAGTATTTGGTGTTGTACTGCGCCAACCAAAAACAAAGAAATGAAATTATCAGTAACTTCATAACCCGAATAGCTGCTATGAATTTGCGGCAGTATATTCAGAAATCAGAAGCGAAAAACTAAACATAATTCACCTCCAAAGTTTGAATGGTAATGTGATGGATGAAGCCAGAGGTATAATTATTATAGTACTTATATGCGGTCACATCTCCTCTGGCTTTGTAATGTTTGTTGTTGTGCTCTTTTCAGTATATCACTTCACTTGAACCGCGTTCTTCCATAGTAACTCAGAAGACGGAAGTCTCGGCAGCAGTGGTGGATGCTCCGCTGGAACTATGGTGTCGGCTTCGTCGGAGAAGCAGCCAAGGAAGCCGCGGAGAAAGCTCAAAAAGATCTCTGGACATCGAGAATTCTGACACACCGCCGCGTCCACCGGTGTTGGAGAATTGGAGTCCCCGCAAGAATAGGACATCAAACCGTGGCGGTGGCGCAGCTAGTCCAGTTTCTGTCGGTGAGGTTCAAGATTCATCATCTAGACTGGACTGTTGCTCTGTTTTTTGGCTCGAAGTAGACTGGACTAATACAGAAGCTCAAGCAGTGGTAACTTTTTCTTTTTTATTTCAATCACTTTCAGGATAGATTATCCTACCAGTTTGACCTAACAATCATAATCATTGGTTTTACAACAGTACAGCTACAATTAGAGATGGGTTCTAAATCTTTGAGTGGATGATGTCTAGTGTTAATTAGATTGAATTTACTATTGCCTCGTGACAATCGAGGCAATAGATTATCAAGATTTCAATTCTTTTCAAGCATATAGAAACAAATTCAGTGCTTTTGTCGAGATAAAATGACCAAAGAGGGAACCTGTTAGGGAGCATTGTAGCCGGGAGAAAGCCGGAAAACATCAGCTTCAAGAGGCATATCAAGGGCTTTAACATCGGCTCGAACATAAACACTGGTGATTTGTCGTGCTTTTGTGAGAGTAATTTATGTGCTGGCTATCTGCAATAATCATATGGTATATATATAGTAAAAGAAACCAAATGATACTGTATTAGGGTTTATTCTGATTAGTTGCCAATGTGATAAGGGCAGCATTCAAATTTGAGCTTAAAAAGAAATCTTATCAAATCCTTCAATGAGGGAGAAAATGAAAGATAATTTTCCTTTGAAAATGATCTTTTGAAATTAATACCTTATTTGATCCAAAGAAGGTTCAATCCTTATAGGCGCCGAATCCGGTGCTTCACTGAATGATTGTTTATGTTAAAAAAAAAATTAAATACGTAAAGACGACGGGAAAATCTTTAGAATATTATCCATGGATAGAAGACTTCCCAAAATAGAAAACCCTTCCTCAGCCCACAGCCGTCATGCTTCTTCTCTCTTCTTCTCTTTCTCCTTCTCTCCCGATCGGCCATGGTCAACTGTCAACCATACTTCTTCTATCTTCTTCTCTTTCTTCTTCTCCTGCTGCTTTGGAAACCTACACCGAATCTGAATCTCCTGCACCTCCCTCTGAACCATCTGAGCCTCAATACTCCTACAACCAGGTGCCGCATATCCTACAAAATCCCTAGACTTATCGTATTACCAGAATTACCGGGATAGCCATGCCCCGCAGGAAGCCCCCAATTATTAAAAGAAAAAAAAAAACTTGGCCTCCATCTTATTTGAATCAACGCAGCGCGCATCCTTTGAAGGGATTTTGTTTTTCTTATCTTGGATTTGGAGGGTTTCATATCATCGATTGCCTTTAGCTTCTTCTCGCCACTGGCTTTTTCTTTGGTCTCATTTTAAAGACTTATGCTGGATCGACGCAAATCGCGACGGCAGATTTACTTGAACGTAACGAAGTGGCGATCGATCTGGAGTTTATTGCCAGTGACCTTGTCCGTGATGAGTTGGGAATTGAGATTCAAATGCTTCCTACGAAGTATGTGTACAATCCGTTTCAAATAATCAATTAGCAGGGATCCTTATTCGGTCGTGCATATGAGATCATGTATAATCTGGTGATGATTTCGACGGCATTGAACTGATGATTACATTATGTTTGGGTGATGAGTTCAGTCTCAATTAATCGGTGAAAAAAAAAAAACCCTCGATGATATGTTAAAAATATTTAATTTTAACATAATTATAACCATTTTACTGTGCAAAATTACATTATGAAGTTCAGTAAAAATTTAGTAAAAAATAAGCCAATGAAATGTTGACACATGGACTACATGAAATTCTCTATGAATGAGAAGATGACACGTGTAATTGGAAATTATCGATGATCTAATTGACTGACATGTGTCTTGTGAAAAAAATTCCCTTAATATATAGTAAGATTTTATTTTCAAACATGCACAACATCTACTCCATCTCATACTTTATAATCCAATTTAAATTTACACTCTAGTGACAATGATTTTGGGAAAGATAAATATATATATATATATGTAGCCGGAAATAATTCATGTCCGTCACCATGACTATGGCCTTCGCAGCTACCAACGGAACTGGGCGTTTTCTGACTTGAGCAGTCCGCCGCCTCCATCTAATACGGTGTGGAAATGATGATGAGTTATTACTATTGTTCACACTAAGTGATATTTACATATATATATATATATATATATATATCCATTTGGCTAAATTTCTGGTTCATTTTTGGTTTTGTGTTCTTTGCAAATGTGTTCTCATCCACCGCAAGCCACAGACAAGGTTGTAACCAAAAAGATATTGTGGAATTCGCCGAAGAGCTGCACTTATGAATTGTAAGTCTATATATTATCTCTATTTCTAATCATATGGTTGTTTTTTAGTTTAGTTCCTGACGAAGCTGCATTTTTGGATGGAGAAAATACATTAATCAACCCATCAAACATAAATATGACGAGAGCAACCTCAGTAATTTCCTTCTTTACGTTAAACGTGTCCTTGCTAACTTTAATGGCTCGAAGATTAAAATCCTTAATAGGATGTAGCATGGGTTCCATTGTGCGATGTCATCTTTTGAACTCTCGGTGCTTAAAACTTCTTTTTTCTTTCATTTTTTGTACCAAAAAAATAGAATAAAATTGATAAGCGGATTGTCAAGTTGTTCAATTGTCTACATGTAAACGCGAGTTGCTTTTTTCATTTTTTGACATAATTTCCGCCTTATATTAAATTTTTTTTTGAGAACCGTACATGAGAAATTATCAAGTCATAAAAGAGTTCTTACATTGCATTAGGGTCTAAGTTACATTATGCATATTTCCCCCTTATGCTGAGTTCAGCATTTGGAACACAAATCTATGTTGTATACAGTACATAGTTTTGGCGTGAATGAAATATACAACACTATTAAAAGGGGCACCATAATAAGTACTATTTTATATTTATTATCCTCCTCATCGTCATCATCAATTTGTCATCATCGACATCAAAAGCAACAACATTATCACTATACTGATCTACTTCTTCATCGCCAGCCTTCTTAGCATGTTTTCCACAAGGCGGCGGCTTTGAAGTGTTAAAAACATCAATATCGCTAAGTACCATATTCCCAATTTCTTCTTCCAACAATTTGATACAGAATACTTCATAGATACATATGCCTCGAATAAAAAGATAGGTATGAGTATCGTATTTTGTTCGAGTTACTTTAAGAGCGCGATCAAAAAAAGAAAAGAATTAACCATTCTTTGAATTTCGATTCCAGATTCATGCTTTTCCGTTTTGCCAATCCCAATTCGGCAAAAACATTTGGCCATGGTTTGTCAAGTAGTATAACTAACAATTAAGTTTATTGAGATCGCTACTCTTTCGACCGATTAACGAAGAAAAATGATTAATTATTCTGCTGTCTTAACATATTCTTTCAAGATTTTTTGAATTAATTCTTTATTCGATACTCCTTTTATATATTTCTGACCCAGATGCTAAATGATATCACATCCCCCTCCACCCACCCCCAAATTAAAAAAACCAAGCCAAAGATTAATAAATGATTAAAACAAGTAAATATAGTTGAGAATGCAACTTTCATAATGAAAATGAGAATAATTGAAAATGATTTTTTCCGCATTCAAAATGGTTTATTACAGATTATTGAAGGGGGAAAAAAATAAGTTAGCAGTATCATTGAAGAAAATCCCTGAAACGGCTAAAGAAAGGGCAAAACACTCTAACCAATTAATGCATCTTCAAAAACATGTGAAGGTGAGGCAAAATAAAAATTAAATGGAGAAAAACTATAATAAAAAAATAATGTAAGATAGATCAAATGGAGTAAAATTTGAATGACATTTTTCAGAAAACAAATTCATTAAATAAGATTTCTGAACTCCGATAAAATTAAGACAAAAACTAATAAAAGTTAAATGAGGGTGGCCAAAATATTTAAAAAATGAATAAATAAATCAAACAGATATAGACTAAAACCATCACAATCGGTGAGACAATTAGTTTAAAAGATTTAATGTAACTCTAATAGTAACTAAAGCATATGACTAAGACAATTGAACGGGTACGACTAAAACATTTTAGCGAGTGAGACAACCCACCAGAAAATTTTAACGGTGGCACTAAATCCTTTTAATGAATGGGAGAGGCTTAATAGGTGGAAAATTATCTCAACGGGTGTCCTAAGATATTTTAACAGGTGGGAGAGTAGCCACAAAGTTTAAGATTGCGTCATATCTGTGAGTGATTACTCACTTCAACGGTAATACTAAGGTACTTTGGCTTAATGAGAAGTATACTAAACGGGTGATCTTAGGAGCAAAACTAAACCATTTAAATTGGTGAGATATAGTTGGCCACAAGATTTAATATTGTTTCATGCCCGTATGTCTATATACAATTAAATAAAAAGAAAATTTTTATCAGCCCCGTGTAACACACGGGTTTAACGTTTAGTAAATAACTAAAATGATTCAGAGCAAGTCCGAGGAACATGGGAACTCAATCGGTGTAGTGGCGGCTCCGGTTGAAATTAGTCGGAGATGAAAAACATTGCAAAATGTCAGCGATAACAAAAAGGGTGTGATAGTAATTTGATTATTGAAAAAATCTTAAGTGTGATTAAATATAATTATTCATACATGAATAAAGATCATGCCCTTTTTAATAAATTTTATCTTTCCCATGCCCTTAACGAAAATTTTTCTTTAAATATTTAATGTTTTAGGTTAAATTTTATTTTTTGGTTAATTAAAATCTTGTAATTTATTGATAATTTTGTGAAATTTGTTTTTATAATCCCTTTTTATTTGATTGTAGTAGTATCATTTTTTTCTTCAATTTTCTTTCATATTTAGTTTTAATAATAACTAAAAATTATTTTTTAAAAAATAAATTTTATATTCAATATGGGTCTTATTTTGAAGATCTCAACAAAATATTTAATATGATATAATTTTCACAACATAATTCATTTTATAAATTCAATTAAATAACAAAAATATATTTAGATCAAAGTAAAGACAGTGCACAAAAAATCTATAGTATTATACTAAGAAAGAAACCAGACAGAAATAAAAAAAGATTTCTAAGGTGCCACATAGGATAAAATCTTATGTGTCATTTTTCTAATGCTTGACTCAAAAAATATTTATAACAATTATACTAATAGTCCTTCAAATTTTCTATTAATAAAGTTTTATCAAATTTCATTTAAAACATTAATTGAAAATGGGAAATGGAAATTAATCAAATTAAATTGATAGAAAGAATGAGTATTAATGCACT